AGGTCACAAGATTCCAAGTTACTATGGTGTCGTGCAAGAATACAAGTTGTATCATCTGAAACTGCTGGCCTACCAATTTAGTTGTGAATAGTAATATCTAATAATGTTCTGTTCATTTTATATAATAACGTGGAAATCTTTATATATTATTAAAATCATCATAATTTCATTTTTAATTAAAGAAGTTGACAGCACTAGTACATGTAGATGACTTATTATAAAGGAAATATAGATATGAAATACCATTAAAGCAAGATACATGTAATATATACATGTATCATACTATTCTATATGTAAATCGAAAATAGGACACTTCAATAAACGACGGTATGGTATGATAAAAGTAATGACTACAATTTTCCAATTATCTGCACATTTTCAATCACTTGAACAATATATTATGGATACTTCGACTATTACATTATCCATTTTATTATAATTTTAAAGGTCGGTTCAATTATGTCTTATCAAAATTCTAAGTGCTTTTCACAATTCTGTGACTTTGCACAAAAAGCCATTGTTATTTGTAAAAATATTGGATATCTTTTATGCAGACTGTCTAACCCTTTTAACATTATTAAATTTATGATATCTGCAATTTACATGTATTTTCAATCATTAGACAAAAACTATATAGGCTACACAATCAATATTTTGGAACCTGTTTATCACAAGAATGTTTGATAACAATATTTGATATTAACCTAATTTACAGACACTATAACTATTATTTTATAGTCAATCTGGACACCTCATTATTGTATGTAGAGATTGTTATTATCGACTACCTGTCACTGTTAAATAACGTTAGACTATCATCAAACTGAATATTAAAAAGGTATAAGGAGAACATATTAAAGAAACTTCCACACATTATCTAGTGAGTCTATAGAAGTAAATGCATAATAATTGATCGTAAAGCAGCAGTCATGAAGTCAAGCCCAAATTTGATAAATTGAACAGCAAGTAAACGCACTACATGAGAATATTCAATGTACTGCTTGAAACTCATCAACGACAGGAAAGCTGAAAAACATTTCCCTCAAATCTGTAAAAACAGGAAATCGACTTATTAAACATTTCTGTTGTCTTTTATTAGTGCACTGTTATGCTATGAAGGAGCTTGGAGGAAAACTGCTTGCTACTAAAAACCTTTTGCATGGCTAAATGCTATGAAGTTAGAATGTAACTCGACTTTCTTTTTCATACAATATCACTTGGCAATCATCAATTTGTACTTTCATCATAGATAATCCAAATGGTAAACCAGGACTTGATGTACAGATATTTATACCATGGGTTCCATGTTGGCTGCATATGCTGGTCATGACTGAGGACTATGGAAAACAACCAAAACTGGATCTGACCCATCAGTCATATTGCACATCGGAAAAATAGTGTATTTTTCAAAACTCAATTTTCAAACTTGGCTACAATCAACCTCCACCGTATAACTATAAAATTCTACGTCCTGTACAGAATAATGCACACGTAATAGAAGCCACATAATCTCATGATCGGTATTATAGAGTTGTAACTCGTGTACTTAGTTGTCAACAGAAGATTATACTAAGTGATGTATTGATAATTAATTATGAATGTCTGGTAGTAGAACAATAAATTATAAAAGTTAATTGTTAGGTGGGAATCTTATCAATGATGAGAAGGGGTTCATTGTTAGTCATACTCTATTTGAACACCCATGTATTGTTCATTATATGTCATAATAATTTTTTAGGACAAAGCCGCTATACCTCTATTACGGTCACAAACGGTGTAAACATTATGATCCGAGAAAAAAAGGCAATCAGATATTTGAATCCAACCAAACAGCATAGCAATTAGGTAAATCCTCACAATGTGTCAGGAGAAAAATGCATCAGTAAATGTATACAGCAGTATTATGGTCTTGTGGGAATTGTAGAAATAAAAACTAGAGATTAGTAAACTTGCTTATTGAAAGCATAAGAAAATTACGCATCTTATAGCAATATTGATAATCCATGTGTCATGTACATGTTTACTCTTCTTATGCATGACTAACCATTCCAGGTTGCACTAGTGTAGCTTTGAAGTTAGTCTGTCGTTCAAATTAGTTATTCGCTATTAGGATTTGCATCACAATTCTGCGGTCCGTAATGCCGTAAGAGATGGTCTAAAATTGATAAATTATATATTATGTGGATAATTATATATATTTATCTTCATTTTAAAGTTATTGTATTACAACTAAAATCTATCAAGGTCAGTGTTTGTTTCTATAGAGCATGTAGTTATACTGTGAGCTACTGGAATTATTTTTCTAAGCCCAATTCAGCTCTTTATTTGTCTTTACCCAAGTAAGAAATTTTGTAACAAAATATATTTAAAAAGCCAAAAGGGAATATTTCATTAATAAATATTTATTATAAGCTCGCAATATCTTATTTCTTAGTCCAATATGTAATATTTTGTGTACACCATGTTAACAAAGTGGCGTATAGACATGTGAATTCACGATATTCTACCATAAATTAAAAAAAAAACATGAAATATGAATTCAAGTTTTCATGCATTGTAAAAAATGACTGACAGTGAAAATTTGTAAGCAGAAGCCCTGCTTTATACCATGTGTCAAGATCTGTTCCAACATAACATATAATAACACATATTTCAGGAGCAAAGGGGTGTGGTGACTTAGATCCTCTGTGTATTTCCACCAATCTGGTTGAACATTCTAGGATATGTTTGTATATAATTACAAGTAGAAATACCTGCAAAACATGACAGGTTTTCTCTATTTTGTTTGACCTTAGTTCAAGCAGGAAACTGAAATAAAGTAAACCATGCTAATCCTTAAACGACCTAGTTGTTTTGTGGATGTAAATTAAACACCATTTTTCTTTCTCTCATTGAAATTGCTTCTGCTTATAAAGACATATAATATATCTTGATAGAGAAAACCAACCTCTGTTATACATAAAATATATAGTGTATTTATGAAACAAAAAAAATATTTATCAATATTTCTATGACAGTGCACTGATAAAAACATAAGAATAAAATTAGAAAGCAAAAACACGTTATTTCCAGAACATGTTCTACATGTATGTAATTAAACAGCCTAAACCTGCCTATTGCAGGTCTTTATTTTTATTAATATGACAAGACTATAATCAACTCTCGATGCCATTTAATGATTTAATCTAAAAATGGAGAAGCGAGGCTAAGACTCGAATGACTAGTAGTATGGTGGTTACGATCAATGCACACATCTTGTCAAAACTACAACCATTGATAACTTTGCTCAAAATAAAGTAATTTAAATGAAATTTTTAATATTCATTTTGTATTATCTACTTTTGAAATATTATAGTAACGAATGGCCAGCTCTTTATCCAATCTTATATAATGCCCCTTTAATGTAACTCATAATATCATATTTTAAATTCCTCAACATAACTGACCACAGTTTGCTACAATCCTCTCTATAGTAAATAGACAATGATGGTCTGTGTATTCATCATGTAAATGACACTCCTCTATGTATGCTATTGAATCATTTAAACTATTTGTTTGTTTGACATACCTCCTATCATTAACTATTGTAATGTATTACAGTCACACAGTATCCTCAGAATGGCCTCCAGTGTATGGAAATAATAGTTATCTCATGATACTTTACTAATTTGATTGTCTTTTTTCCATTTTAGAATGGACGAGGGAACAGAAATGAGATCTTCAGTGAAATCTTCCACGAAGACTGACATTTCAACGTTACTTATTGACTAGCCGATTCTAGTCTACAGAAGGAGGGGGGCTCTAATTCTAGTATTGTACACAGAATCAATCTTAAAAGTTTCAATGAAATGAAATGAAATGAAATGAGGTTTAACGTCCTACTGTTCTGCTCTGCCTTAGCTAATGAAGATGGGCATACACAATACAGTGTGTTATGACTCATGACAAGAATTTTGCCAGGACGGCAGCACTATGGCCTACTCTTATATCGAATTCTGATTGCCAAGGGATCTCTTACGTGCATTTCAGTTTTCGTTTAAACCAAATGACTATAAGCTGTCCCTTGCCAGGCCCTCTTTCTTGCACCACTGACAAGAGCGAACCAATGCCGGAAAATTTCGATGAAATTTCTCGACCAATGCAGGGATTTAACACAGGACCCCTCCAGGTTAGTGAGCCAACGTCTTACTCACTTAGCCACCGTGAACTTTAAAATGTTTCAAACAAATCAAAAGTTGAAGTCCTAGATGTAAAAGAAATATTTTTTTTTACAGTACATGTTCAAATCAAATCACGCATTCAAAATATGAGACATCTGCAGAGCCAAAGCAGGAATATCTGTCGATTTACGAAATCTAAAAAAAAAATTCTAATTTTCAAAATCGAATTAACAATGCCACAAAATACGTTACTTTAACTTTAAGTAGGTCAGTTCTTGGATTCTCGGTAATTAAAAGAGTCCAAAATTATTTTGAATATATTATATATTTATTAGTAGATCTATTTTCTACATTCGAGTGATGATGCCTCTTTTAGTTACATTATGTAGATACCACTCCTCATGGAGTCACTTATTTCGGATGTTCACATAGCTGACATTATTTGTTGTAGTTTGTACTGTGATCTAAATAGAGCAGCAACAGATGCTGTGCTTAGTTAACATGTCTTTGTCCTGGTTTATCGGCATTACACACACACAACCCACAGATTGCATAAGATGTGAATAATAGCCATTCAGGTCTCTGAAATGCAGCAGTAATTTAAATTACATTGCCTTCTAAAATCAACAATTGACAGTGAATTGGTTTAATTTTAACTTGTATAGTTGGACTGTGACCTCTGACTCATGGAGATATAAATTTTTAGATGTGAAACTATTATTGTGAAGAAAAAAAAATCATTTATAAAATGATACAATTAGATTTAGAAGTTAAATAAAAATGAATGTATGACCTCCTTATCAAGATGGTTAAAAGGCTAAACAATATAAGGATACTTACCGATGCATATAATGGAGCTGTAAGAATCATGATAAATCTATCCTTAAATTTAAACTACCTATAACACAAAATTCTCATCCATAAACAAAACAAATTCAAATGTCACCTGGACAATTTCACTATTAGTTGCTCTTTTCCTTGTGAAATATAGGTCAGGTATTTAGTGTAGCTAGTGGGTGTTTTGTATGTGTAGATAATATCTAAGGTGATCACTCAAACTAATTAACCTTTCTCTAGGTCTGTACACCACACACCACCACTCTCTCCTTTAAATCCAAAATGGTCTTCCTAACTCAATGTCACAAACATAACACTGAGATAAACTTTAAGGCATAAACTTACAAGCACCTCATCAACATGGAGGTTGTCTTAAATTAATTAATTGTTTAATTAGTAAATCTATTCCCAACGAATATCCTATTTCTTTATCCAAACTGATATCACATACATTAATAATCATTTAAAAATAAAATCACAAATCCCCATGAATAGTGAAATAAAATCCAAAAATCTAATCCAAAAATGTTAGGACTTCAGCTTCATGTTGTTTAAGTTTCTGTCTATCCAGGTAAACTGAACGTTTTCCTCTGTTTGTTCACAGAAATAAATCTTCTCTCTCTCACTTGTTTGTCTTTGGGTATATTGACCGACTACTGTATCACAGACACACAGAGTTAGACGAGAATTCACCATTTACCATCTATATTACCTGGCCATCAATAATGTCATAGAGACAGACATAGGTCACCTTTTAACCTATTAATTACAGGTAACACTCGTTATGGGTATGACAAAGAATTATGCACAGGTAAATTTATGTTCAGTTGACACATTCAAGAAATTAAAATACAGCTGTCTTTTCTACGAGTACCTGAACAATCAGCTCTTTACTCTACAGTACAACTAGTTAATCTAGTCTACTCTGGTATGCGACAAATAGACCTAGACTTCAGAAGTTGACGAGACCATCAATAATAAACGGTCCAGTGATCATGAGGACAGATCTAACACTACATGAAGTAGAAATACATAACAATGGTTGTTGACACTTGTCATTTCTTTGCGTGTCCACATCAACAAAATCTAATTTATTTATTTTTTAGTCGGCTTTTAATATTTGATTTAGTTTAAATCTTATTCCAATTCATTAAATTATTTTCCTCTTCTAATCTTTTCACATGATTTATCAATTTATTTACTTTTTGGACAATTTAATTTCATAATGTTTTCTTAGCTCAAGTCTATCAAACGTATCTATAATTAAGACTGTAATAAATAGAAAAAAGATGTATTTAGTTGTATTTATAGAAATACATTTATAACAATAAAAATTTAAAATGCTTAAAGAATGTGACATGAAAGTTAAATTGAAATAAATACATGAAGATATATCTGTCAATCAAAATTTGCTAAAATTAATAGAATGACTTGGTTATCTAGACATTTTACTCCCATGCCTGAAGCTATTCCACTATCATAACAATAGTCTTGATCATCATGATTAATAACATTATAAGTAACCCATTAGCTACTCAAATAAACAGGTAATTCATCAAGTGACAGATTAAGTGTATTGCTAATTATTTATTACAATGGGATGTATAATTTACTAACGACGCTGTGCTCTGCTTCATCCTTTTGACCAGTTCATTGTCAAATATATCAAAACCATGTTTAATGCAACCGAAAAATGTTATAATATCTATATAATTTATGGTCGTGCTTGAAGAATAAAAGATCGCTAAACATAAATTTCATCTTGACTGTTTTATATAATAATGTCCAGTCTTTGCTTTACACATACTTATCTGCCATGAGTGGGTCCAACAATTCTGTCACTTTAAACATTATTTCAAATATTATAAATCTGAGCAATTTTTAATGAATTCTTTGTCAATGTCTGACTGACCCATGGCTACTTTCAGAACACCCATATTTTTCAGCCAGGACAGTTGGAGGCCACAGTTTTAATTATACAAATTAAAATCCAACATGAAACTGAAAATTTTAATGAAATGTGCACGCACTAACAGCAAAATCTGGCAACTGTTATTTAACCTTTCATGCAGCAAAGAGAAGCCAGCTTAAAAAAAGTCACCTCTGGGTTTTTAAACTGGTTTATTTCCCCCACCATTAAATTTGGGGGGTTTCTTGTAAAACAATGAATGACATTACATTTCATTTACATAAAGTCAGAAATTGTTAAACAACAGTCTTTAGTATTATTTGTCTTATGTGCATGTACAATGTATGAAAACCAAATATATAAGCTGTGACCTTTAAAGCACTTTATAACGAATTGCAGAAGATGAATGGTGACAGCAAATTAAATGTCACTTAGGAAAGGCACAGCCTGCCTACTTTGTAAAATGATATGTTTTTGTTTATAAAACAATCAAAATATAATTATTAAGAATCTTCACTATGAATCTTATAATGTCAATTAAGCTTACACTTTCTATAAATTTGCCAATTAGTTTCAAATTAATTAAAGTCATGTTAGATATTCAATTCTTACGTTTGGCCTGTTAAGTTATAATAGCATTATGTTTTCAAGATATTCTCTGGTTGATAAAACAATAATTTTGGTGTCATGTATTTAACTACCAGGCGAACATTCACATGTTTCAAATTTCAATTACAGTGTAGCTGGCTCGCTAACCTGGAGGTGGCGTGTTCGATCTCTTCACTGGCCAAGAAAGTTCATCAGGATTTTCCAACGTGGTTTCCCTTTGTAAGTGTTAAAGGACGAAGGGCCTGACAAGGACATCAGTCTAGTCGTTCGGATGGGACAAAAAACAGGTCTCATGTATGTATTGTCGTGAACACATAAAAGATCCCTCCGCAGTTGGAATTCGATAAGAGTATACCATAGTGCCGCTGCCCGGGCAAAATTTCACTCATCATAGCACACTGAATGGCGTATGCTCATCTTCATTAGCCCAGTCCGAGCAGAATAGTGAGACATTAAATCCCATTTCATTTCATTTTTTAAACTTCAATTAATGAGTTATGAGCATTATTGTTACTGTTTTCAAGGAGTTTAACAAAAGAATTTTTGAAAATATGGGTATTTCATTCTAAGTACATGTAGATCAGTATTTTTATCTAAGTTAATAAGGCAAGGAGGCTAGGTTTATTTTAAATATGATTTTATATAAAATTATCAACATTAATTTTATTTTCTTGTTAAAAGTGACAATGACATAACCAAGTCTAGTCTTGTTGGTGTTCTCTGTGTAATCATCTTTATCTGAGGTGTATTTGCTTCTTATTTTGTGCAGTACAGTCATCCTGCTTTACTGTAAAGCTGCTTGATAATAAATGCCAAAAGATTATTTAGGCAAAAGTTGTTGGAGAAAAAATAAGACATGAACTAAAACAATGTTAACTCAAGTCATATGTATCTAGAATTACTCGGCAATAATTATGTTCTTGTTTTACAGATCCATTATACTTTGTAAGAACAACAAAAAGTTCTTAATTATGTGTGAAACTATGACAGAAGTCAACAAGCAAGGATTTCGTTGACTTGCACATTCAAATATGTGACTGCTGATCATTATTAATCACTAGGCTTTATTTTGAGATCCAAATAGATTATATTAGTCTCAGATGTTTGTAATATAACAATAGATATGTTCTTCCAGATGCATTTAGTAGGCTACAGTTGCAGCTCCTAAAAAAAACCACCCAACCAAAGTGCAAAACACATCAAATATATACTTACACTGTTAAAACAAGCAGTTGCCATGCAAGGTTACGACCCACATTTTGCAATAGAGATAAACAGAGATCAAGCTAATAAAGCGATTTCTCATACAATAAGGGGCCATAATCCAGGATGTTCCAGTCAACACCGAAAGGAAGTGAGATCTTTGGGATATCTTTTAAGTTTGATTAAAATCAGATAAGAATTGTGACCTTTTCTCATTTGCTTCTTTGTGTTCAGTGTTGTTTGTTTTTTGCTCTGTTTTTGTGGTGGGTGGAACATTTACCCTAACTGTATTCAATATGCCTCGTTTGTATTGAATATTAAAACGTTTCTCAAAACCCAAGTTATTTTGAGAATTTTTGCAAATATTTTTTTTAATGGTCATTATCATAAAAAAAGGGTTATTTTGGCTTTAAATATGAAGTTTTAAATAATTCCATATATAAATATGAATGAGAGAAAAAAAAATGTACCGGGTAGTGTAAATATTTGGTAACAGACGAACATTTTCATAGCGATATTTTACAATGTTGGTTACTTTCACAAAAATATATTATTTTTATATTTTAATGTATAAAAATCATGTTTATATACATTGTCAGATAATTAATGCCAAATCATTCAGTATGATTCAGAATAATCAAACAAACACAAAGTGAGAAAATACAATAAAATTATAAATTCGACATTTACAATTTTATACTCGACACGAAGACCAAATAGAAAAAAAACAAAGAGTTTCCACCCACATAAATTATGTTTTTCTTCAAAATATAGATTATTTCTCACCATTTTTGTCCATTTATCAGCTAATTAAATATTTCACCTAATTGTATACTTTGGCATGAAATTGCCCAAGTGTGCTTGTTCCGAGGTGACGGATTTTGGATGACCGACTTTATTTTTACCAAAACTACCAGTATACAAACCAGTCAAATTATATGTAAAACTGTAGGTTGTATATATTGCCTATAATGGGTGTGAAGTGATATTATTACAATATGAATATTGATTTATTATTGATTAGCAATGTTTATCTTCTAACAACCTAGTCTCTATATTTACATAACAACCACCTGTTGATATGAAATATTACTAGAGTTACTCCCCCTCAATTAACATTGTAATGTACCTTCTTCATTGCCAGGCTCTTGATAGAATATAAATTTGATTCGGATACTGATAGATCTATACAAAAGGTCAACTTACTTAGATTTATACAAATAAATGCCAACTTACTTGTGTCATGCCTACATGTACATGTATTACACTAATTTTCGTTGATAACCATTGCCTATTTTGGGAGGTGACAAAGGACAGATGAATTCAGGAAAACTTAATTCTTTATGATATATATATATCTGTATATAAACATTCTGAGGTGTTGTTTTGATATTGTAACCGAAGACATTTGCAGCAAGTTTCTGCCAGGAAGGGGAGGGGGGGGGGGGGATTTACAAATACATTGATACAAGTACGGATGTTTGCCTTTGATAAACAGATGCAAAAAAGTTATATCTAGTTGTTTTCAGGAAAAGTTGAAGTAAAAGAATTTTCTTACACCCATAAAAGTTGTAAAATATATCACAGAGCTTTAATTATATTAAAATTTCTGGAGAGTGGGATATTTCAAAATTAAGCATGTTTATTGCCAGTGCTTTACAGCCTCTAGAAAAGAAATAAACCCATAAAATTTTTAGGGACTAGACAGCATGAAGAGGGTAGTAAAACCAACAATTACATTGTCATGAAATCACAAAGTCAAAGAAAGGGACATGTCGATTGAAAGACGATATCTACATATTGAACACAATCAATGATAGATTAACACACTGGGTAACAAAAGAAGAACAAGTCTATCAAATCTAGTTTTTGTTGCCCTTTAATAAATCTGTTTCAGTTGAATGATTTTCTGTTTGCTGTAATTTGATCTTACCGTACCTAATTCAGATCAAAGATCACTAGTATTAACAACTCACTTTATTTTAACACAATTTTTTTTTTTTTTGTAATTCAAATCAGTGGTTTGTTTAAACATATCCGTGCTCAAGAAAGTTGTCCATGAAAGAACCATTCAGACTTCATTTCTGAATTATGGGTTAATTGTTAAAATAAACTTCATAAAACAATTTAAAACCAATTTAAAATTACAAGAAAACCATATTATTTGACGGCAAGAAAAGTTTTAATTCAG